ACTAAAAACTAAAAAAATATCCATGCCCAATGTTGCTTTTGGACTACTAAATTTTTAGTAGTTAAGTTATGGTATACTAAAATACAAGTCTTATACTAAAAGTTTAAAAGATAAACTTGTGCAGTACTTTAAAAAGAGAAGTAATTAGAGAATTCAAAAGGAGAGATAAATTTGAGCACAGTACACCATCTGTTAAATGGGGAAAACACTAAAACAGGGTACAGCATTTGTTCTAAGTTTACTTCTCCTGGATCTACCGCAAAACTATTGGGCCGATTTTGGTGTCAAATAGACCAATGTTATGGTAAGGTATGTTACGTTCCAGTTTTCATACAAAATGCTACTAAATACTGTCTAAACACCATGTATTTGCTGTACCATCAGACGTTTTACACATAAAATGCAACTTCACTCTTATGTTATCAAACCTTATCCAAAGATCAAGTTATGATAACATCGTTTTTTGTTACATTTGGGCGTTTTCTAGGTTAGGTTTTTTATCTAAAACGCCTGACTGCACCGCAACCACATAGGATTTTGACAGGTTTTAGTACCACTTTATATGAAAACTGGTACATGACACAGTCTTGCCATAACTTTTGTCTATTTTACGGCAGAATCTGCCCATTAGTTTTAAGGTAGGTCTACATTTATGGGTTTTCTATCTAAAACGACTAACTGCACAGCAACCTCATAGGCTTTTGACAGTTTTTAGTACTACTTTATATGAAAAATGCTACATAATATACCCTTGCCATAAAATTGGTCTATTTTACCATTATTTTCTACTAAACTAAAAACTGCAGAGCTTTGGCAACAAATACAAACTTGTGCAAAATTTTATAACCTACAAATAACCTCATAACCTCATTTCACCCAAATCCAACAGTTTGCAAGATATTTGCAAAAAACTGAAAAACTTCCTACCTAATAAGTCACCCCTTACTCGTACATCAACCTTTATCTAACCTCCGAACCAGGCGTCAATTACTTTCGAATTTGAAACATAGATGTCACACATAAATGGGGGTGAAAATGTGTAATAAAATCGATTTATTTGCTGCCACCATGTGCTGACCTCTAGAAATAAATTTGAACTATAGTCCCTCTAAAACGTTTCGATTTTGCGTTATCAGGTATTTGTTTCGGTTATTCTGTTTTTTACATTAGGGTGAATAGATATCAATCTATAAATCTGACCCCGAAAGTACATAATTAGTTATCGGTACAAAGAAAATAATTAGGGTTACCACATGTAAGCCACAAAGGGGTTGTCATATCGCAAAATCTATTTAGCGGTGTCATTATCTTTATCTGAGTATGGTATCTAAGAAACTGTGGGAAAGATTTTGGACAAAAAAAAAGAAAAAAGGGGAAAAAATGTGGGACTTACAACTGCTTGTTTTTTTTCTTAATTTTGTTGAATTTTGCTGATGATGCCTTTGTTGTTTTTAGTCGAAACGCTTATTGGGTTGAATATATTTATTTATCTAGTTTAGGGATGGAAATGAATCTTGAAATGAAAAGCCTAGCTCAAAAGATGTTTTTTAACCCTTTCCACTCGGATGCCATTTATTTCCTTTATCAGATAAAATTATATTTATTTAAGGTAAAATATTTATCGAAAATGAAAATATTGATATATCTTTACGGTTCAAAGGTTTCTGAACATTTTGCCTTACCTTAGAAAACAATGATGTATGTATGTGTGTGTGTGAATGTATGCGCGGAACACTTTTTTGTCGATGAT